TCTTTATGTTCATGAGTGTCCTTCTTTGCACTTCACGTGTAACATTCTTTACTATTGTGTGAGTCTGTGCCTGTTAGGGACTAACTGGTTACAGAGTTCATGTCTTGAGATAAGATACCTGCTTACCTCTTCTTGCTGTAAACCAGATCTGCTGGTTAGAATAATAATTAGGACCTTGGCTCTACAGGTAGTCCCTGGGTTAAGAATGCCCAGTTTAAGGATGACCCATAGTTAAAAACAGAGCCTATTGTAGCAAAATTCAATTTAAATACACAGTGAATTGAGTTGAATACACAATGGTTCGAGTTAATTACACAATACTACTTATACAATAATACTATTTCCCCTTCCATACAAATTTCACTTAAGGACAGATCTTGGGAATGGAACTCGTTCTTAAACTGGAAACTACCTGTACTGTTTCCTTGGGAAATTAGGCTGCAGCAGACTAATATGGCTACCATTCAGGAAATCCTTACATGATATATAATTGGGCAGTAGAACAAATAATTACTATATACAATTGTTATAAATTGTTATTGTATCTATTCTTTATCCTAGACCAATGCCTACTGGAAACTACAGTGTTTGATATCCATTTGGTTTGTGAAAGAAAACCTTTAGGCATTGGCTTTTGTAGTTATTGTTGTTTTAAATGATAGAAGGGACTAATTTAAGTGCTAGGACATTAAAGAAAAATACATTATTCTAGAAATAATTCTTTAAAAGCCTGGTATAAATGAGAATTGATGGCACATTAAGCTTCGTTAAATTGAAAGAGCAAACCCAATTGTTTCCAAGACCATATAAGAATGAGTAGGCTGTCTAATATTCACAAAGAGGACGCCATTTACCTCAGTCAGTTAGTCCACACAAATGAAGAGACATTCAGATTCCTTGAGTTACAATTCCTACAGGTCTGAGGGAGTGGTTACAGTGTTGGAAAATAGGAAACATACCGTGACAGATGATTAAAGCTTTCTTAGTAACTTAGAGCTTAAATCATTAAAGACTTTTTAAAAATCAGTTTGAGTTTTCTGTGTATGTGTGTGTGTGCACTTATATATCTATATAACTTTTATATTCAGGAGCTAATGTTACTTATACCACCTGTAAGACTGTTGAAAACCTTTGATTTCCTCATTCCTAACAAGTCTTTGAAATTGACTGAAGTTGAGTAAAGTCTGTCTGTAGTGCATTGCAATTAGTATTTTAGATACGGGCCACATGTTCAGTCACTCCAACCCTCCGTTCTGTTCACGGCTCTTTTGAAATGAATAGACATAGCAAGTAACAATATAGTGCTGAGATGAAGTTTAACCCTTAGAGATCCTGAGAGAAAAAGTTAACTTTTGGAGATGTTAATCACGTCAGGATAATTGGTTGCTATTTAATTATGCCAAAAAAAAAAAAGGCAGAATGAATGTAAGTCATCAAAAGAACAATGAAGAAAAACGATAAAGTCAGATGACTTTCCTACCGTCAATTTGAAATAATCTGGAATGTAAAATCAGGTTTCATAGCAACCTTATATGCTTTTGGAATGGTGTATCTCAATATATTTTTATAGTAGTCATTCATATTCCTAAAAATATCATAAATCCTTACTACTTAGTTATAAAACTAGATTATACACTAAGTAGTAAGGATTTATGCTGTTCTAGGGCAAAATATACATACATGAAATTTCTAATCTGATTTGGGATAGTGCTTTCTTTCATGTAGTGTAATCATGCACAATTTCCATTAACTGTATTTTGCGTTATTATAATATTTTTCCATTAATCTCTGTCCAGATTCAATAGTAGAGTAAAAGAGTAGCATCAATCAAATGAAAGCAGAGATCACAGTCTTGGGAGGTAACTAATGAAGACATTGAATAAAAACAAATAATTAAATAACATGCTATTAATAAGATTTTTGAACGAGTGCAATATTCTGCATGCCCAGATACAGGCTGCTTTTTAAGCCAGAGCAGATTATGTGAGCCATTGGCTAAATGGAAGATGCATTTTAGGCTTAATAAATAATTTGGATCAGATTAGTCATTCTGTTTCTGCTATGGAATACTATTTCCTCTTAAAGTTTTCTTGTGCCCTTGCATGCCCTCCAAAGGCCTTTTAAGGCAACGTTTTCTGAAACAGACCATTCATTTTAATTCCTTAAAAGTAAATCGTACGGATCATGATATCTAGGAAGAAGGTGCAGCCAGAAAGCTTATGCAGAATATTACTGTGACTGACCCCAAATTCTTAATTCTTCAGCTGTCAGTAAAATTGCCCAGGGAATCTGCCAAGAGACCAGATGCTGCTGCTACTATTTGGGGGGGGGAGGGGAGCAAACTATACCTTGACATTTGTCCTATAATTGTTTTCCATCAGAAAATAAACTGTGACATGACAGAAGGCAGTAAATGTCTCCTCACTGCAAGCTACCTGAATGACCTAAAAATGTGTTCAGTTTTTTGGGTCATGTTATCATCCTATACTGAATCATTTTGTAAACTATTCAAGCTTGCTAGTTCTTGATTTCTGCTGCAGTTAGTTATTTCTGTTGATGATTGTGCAGATGTTCTTATTAGATGCTCAACTTCTGCTTGCTCCTATACATGCAACTTTTAAAGTTGATCTGCATAAGACATGCACATGTGCACACACACACACATATGAATTCCTTGATCTTTATATTGGAAGAATAGAATATATGGATTGTATAAACAGAAAGAAGTAACCATAGTTTTTAAGCAGGTGTGTGTTTGTTATTGAACCAAAAGTTCTAGCTGAGTATATAGCCATGGTGAGAACTGTGGGGATAGGAATTGGCCTTCCTCTTGTTAAAAAAAAAAAAAAAAATTTGGGGGGAGTGAATTTTCTTTGGGTTGTTAATGTATAACTATTTAAATTATATTATAACTATTTAAAACAGTAGACCTAAATTAGTGTCAGTGTAAGTTTCTTCTAAGGAACTTAAAGCTGTCACTTTTTCACCAATCTAAAATAAAATAGACTAACAGCTGTTGAACTGACCCTGGATGATCTTATGAAGCCAAACAGGGTTGGACCTGGTAGATATTTGGATGGAGACCATCAATAAACCATTAGGACAATAGATTAGACTGGAAAATTGAAAAAAATACCCTATAAGGTGACAATGGCAAACGACCTCTATATTATTGCCAGGAAAACTTTATGTATATGTCCACGTAATCCCCTTCTTTAATAAGAAGACTTTATTAAAAGGAATTTCCCCCATCTAATATTTTACCTATAGAATGCTGTGCTAAATATTTCCTCTGCATTTTTAAATCCTTCTTTCATTTAATAGATTATAATTTGTGTTTAATTTGGTGGCTGGTGTGGGTCTTCCGGGCTGTGTGGCTGTGTTCTGGAAGTTTTGTTTCCTAACGTTTCACCAGCACCTGTGACCGGC